AGGCACAAAGGGACCCTGAAAAGGAGCCAGGGAAGCTCACCCCATGTTGTCTACCTCTCAGTCAAGGGCTTCTTCCTCTGGAGCACACTGACTGCTGACTCATACTGTAATTCAATGTATGTGTGAAGTGCCTATATTAAAATAAGTATATTCAAATAAGTACCTGTATCTATGTGTTTGTACAGATGTTCCTTACACACATCATGTGGCATTAATAACATACCCATGAGCATAGCAGTGACTTTCTTGCTCCTCTGGGATCCCATAGGCTTTTTTGGTTCCTCTTGGTGCTGACATTGTTTCCCTCTGTGGACTAGCCATGCCTTGAAAACAAGAACACTCCAGAGCCCAGAACAGGGCCATGAACACTGTAGTCACTAAGAGGTACTGTTGAAAGACAAAATAAATGTCTGAATGAGTTGGGTGAATGTCAGACAGATTGGAATGATTATGGAGTTTCTGACAAGCCCCAGTTGGAGAATCAAACCACAAGTTTCCAGCATTATGGAACAAAAGCCATGCTCTCTTCATCAAGTAACTCCTTTTGAGAAACAGTTCCTGGTACCTGACAAGTCAATACAGTTTAATAACTGGGTTCTGGAAGAGTTTCAATGCCGAACCATGGGACCCAAGTGACCATCAACCTGAGCTGCCCATCCTGGGGCTGTGTCATTTGATCTGCCAAAACATAAAATTGGACAGGCAATGACAACACTCCACCCTCAAAGGGCAGTGGTCTATAGATGATACTGGAACAAGTCTTTTCTTTTTCTTTTTTCTTTTCTTTTTTTTTGGGGGGGGGGAGAGGTTTTTGCTCTAGGGCACGTGCGCTTGCCAGAAAGAGAGACACAGAGAGACAGAAAGGGAGAAATCAATCCCCCCCCCAGGGGATGGCCATGCCGCAATCCCTTCTCCTCTATTCTCCTCCTGGGATCTTGGACACACACGCACACACGCCAGGCGTGAGTTTAAGTCACCGGGTCTGGGACTCAAACTGCAGTCGACTACATAGGAGGCCAGCGACATAGCCATTACACTAACTGCTGGTCCCAGACTGGAGCAAGTCTTGAAAGCACAAGTGAGATACAGAAGGCTCATCTTCTTTATAACAACTACCTCTACTAGATTGCTTGCTCCTCTTCAGCTCACTCCTAAGGCCTTGTGATAATTTCCCATTAAGAAGGAAAAAGGCTTGGCAGGGAGCATGCTTGCAGATGATACTGCAAGATAAGCAGGAACTAGCTAGAGATTAGAGTCACAGGGTCACAGTCCACTCAAGTGTGACCCTGCTAGGAATTAAGAAAGAGAAATCCTCCTAAGAGTCAAAACTTGGAGCCAGACATCTGGTTCACCTCTTCATCCAGAAAGCAACCTGGCCTGGGGTGCTGATCAGTACTGTTTAACTTCGGTCAGATGGTCAGACACTGAGAAGGAAGAGATTGGAGAACTGATAGCAATAATGATAATGTTATAAAATACTTAGCACTTACTATGTATAAGGCACAATTCTAATTGCTTTGCCTGCATATGAGGACTAAGTGAACAGATCTCTCAGAATGGGCTGTGTGGGGATACTTGTGCCACATGTGAATGCTCACCAAAATGAACATGATGACCCAGACTCTGAAAATTTGTCAACATGTTTCCCCAAACACTCCAGTGCTTGTTCAATGAGCCAATGAAAAAATTGCTGTAGTAGAGGAGATAGATGTTATACACAGGTTCAACATGGATTTACCTTCCTTTCATTAATTGCCAGAGGGCATGTACATTCTCCAGAGAAAGAGAGAAAGTATCCCCAATGGGGCATGGTAATGCCTCAATTCCTTCTCTTCCATTTTTCCATCCTGACTGCATTTGGGGCATACATATGAACGTACCTGGAAAGTTTTTCGAGCCTCCAAGACTGGGATTCAGATCACTATCAACCATGAGAATTCTGGTTCCCTTAAATAGTATGCCCTTACCTTTGCTTTTAATTTTTTTTAAAAAAATTTGCCAGAGGGTGCATTGATGAACCCAGGAGAGAGAGAGAGACAGGAAGAGAAAGCACCGCCACCAGTGGGGGAGGTCATGCTGCAATCCCTTCTCCTCAATTTCTCCCTCTTCTTGGGATTTTGTGCATGAACACACGTGCAATGCATGTTCTCAAGCAGCAAGGTCTGAGACTCAAACTGCACAGTCGGCCATGTGAGATCCAGCCACCTTAACCACCACGTCACAGGCTGGCCTCACTTTTAACTTAATATTTTTTATAGAATGAACCCTATGTTGAATAAAAGAGTAAAATTTATACTTAATCTGTTTTGAAAAAAACATGATTAGGTCTGGAAAGTCATGACATATTTTTCTGTTTTCCTATGCAAAAATGTGTCATGAGTTTCCCTATGACCTAATAGTTATTAGAGTATATCTATACTATTAAATTCAGTATATTTGTGGAAGTCAAATTCATGGGGGGAAGCAAATAAAACAGAAATGTCTAAAAAGGCTTCTTAGGAGGGTTACAATAAAAAATAGGCAGGAAAACTGGTCTAGGGCCTTTGCCCACACCTAGCTAAACGAAAGTTACATGATACAATCTAGAATTAGCTGGAATTTAATTAATAATGGTACTGATGGAAGACTGAAAATTTTAAGTTCATTCATTACAGTAAAGGCAACCGAGCAAAAACATAAGCCAGTTTGTCCTCATTTCTCCTGCCAGGCCTTCCCTGTTCCTGACACTTGGCTGGGACCAGACATGTTCGCTTCCTCCTAGTTCCACTTGCCTTCAGTCCTGAAACCTGGGAAATGAGGAGTGAGCAAGAGCCAACCCCTTGCACTGTCAAATTCTGGGTTTCACGGGAGGGAAAGAAGTGGGAATCCTCCAAAGCACAATGGCTTTCAGAGGGAAGGTAAGTGGTAAAAGCATGTTCTTCATGACTATGATTCTTAACTTTTATCAAGTGCTTTGAAATCAACATTTAATATCGCCATTCCTACATTCTTTGCTACTCCTCATTGTCTCCCATTCCCTCCATTTTCAGATAGAAATCATTAGGGAATCTGAGGGGACCTTGGACATGATACCCAAGAGTCTTTACTAAGAGGCCAAAGCTACCTCAGCCTTATCTATTTGCCTTAGGTACTACCTAGCTCCAAGGAGACCATACCCTAGTCCTCAATAGTGAAGACCACCTCAGCAATAAAACATGTCTGGTCTCAGGCAAGTCTCATTTTCTGGCCACAAGCAACAAGTTGTCTCACTCTAAATTGAGCTTTGTTTTTGTTTTTATTAAATCCTGTTCCCTAAGCAATAAACATTTTTCCTTTATTATTTATAGTCTTCAGAAGGTGAAAGGCTGCCATTGTAAGGGCTTTATTGTCCACAAGACTGTCCTAGTGATTAAGAACTTGTTAGAGATGGTAAGTTTCATAAAGAGAAATGTTTAGGGCAGTGTTTCCCCAAATGGAATAGATTATCTCTGATAGCATGAGGCCCCTGTCCCTTAGTGGGCAGTGTAGATGGGAGGTCACTACCCTCAACCACATTAAGGGACTTTGGCACCTGGCTCATAAGGACCCTTTATACCCCAACTTTTGCTACCATCTGGGTGACTTTGTCAACATGGATAATACACAACCAATCCTTTGGCATCCAGTTACTGACTCCCTCATCTGCAGGAACCACCATCTCTCCACTTTGACTACCTGTTCTTTAGCCATCCCCATGATCCAGAGCTGTCTGCTATCTTCTCAAATACAATCATCTCATTGTCTAGTCCAACAGTTCACCCTTCTAGTTTTCTCAATACCCTTTACCAGATACCGAGAATACTGCTAAATATGTAATAGGCACTTAGGACATTCATTTGATGTTGTAGCCCCATTGATGGACTTCACTGAGACTCCTGTCCACAAATGCCTGTACTGCCCTCTAACATATCACATATTCTACTAGTCCTTTTCCTCCAAGCCTTTCTAGGTCCCAGGGCCTATCTTTTCTACCACTTTGTATACCTACCATAAAACATCCTGGATAAAGAAGTAATGAAGATGTAAACTCATGCACTCACTGCCCTTGGTCTATTGTCTTTATTCCAGACTCAAAGAGCAAAACCTATACTTTGGAATAAACTAATACTCTTCTTGGTTCCTATACTAAGGTAAGTGGAAAAAATAGTTAACTGAGCACTTCACCATGTTTCCCCCAAAACAAGGCCTCCATCCTCCATTGGGACCTCCCTACTGCTCATCCTTCCACAGGCCTGTCTATATAGTCCCTTCTCCCAGGCCTTCCCACAGTCCATCCTCTCACCTCAGGAAGTGTACTGAGTAAGTCAACTTTCAACTTCTCCTTATTGGCTACTGTGCTGCTCAATTCTCTCTCCTTCCCCAAGATATTTTTTTTCTCCTTTATCTCCCTTTAGCTTCCTCTCTCCTTTCTGTATCATCTAAATTTCTTAAAAGGAAATTTGATATCCAATCTCTTCTCTGCTTTCTGCTCCAGATTTGTGTACCTCAGGCCTCTTTTTCAATGTATGTCCTCTTTGCCTATAATCCCCAAGACCCGACCTTGCTGAAATGCCACTTGCTCTGTGGACACATGGGGCCCAATCAATCCCAGAGAGGCAAGATAATCCTTCCAGGAATCCAACAGTAAACATATAATGAGGTGGAAACATGTTACCATTTTTTTTTTTTTTTTAGTTTTTTGCCATTGGGTACTTATGCTCACCATAGAGGCAGAGACAGAGAGAGGGAAAAAGAGAAATCACCCCCCCCTCCTCCCAGAGAGTATGGCCACACAACAGTCTCTTCTCCTCCATTCTCCTCTCAGGATTTTGGGAACAAGCAAACACGTGCCTGAGCTGAGTTTCAAGCCACTGGGTCCAGGACCCAAACAGCATTCGGCCACGTGGAAGTCCAGCACCTTAACTACCACGCCACCTGCTGGCCCCCCAATTCATTTTTCAATGTAACACCAAAATGTGAATCCAGAAAAAAAAAGCAATAAATTCAGTAACTGTGAATAGATTTAATGCAGAGTGTCAATTTCAATTGATTGTTAGTGACTGCCTAGAGTGCTGGGTTGAGTAGGTTGAGGATGCACCCTGGCTTGAAGAGAAGGACTTCTGGGATTATCAATATCTGAAAACACAGAAAAAAATAAAACTATGAAGTCAACTGATAGCCACCAAACAGGAAGGAATAAAATGCCAAAAACGGCATTTTCCCACACTCTCTGTATTCTTCACCCTGGACCTTTCTGTTATAATATAGCTCCTCACCCATCCCCATCAGCCCCAGCTGCCTCCATGAAAACCAAGGCAGATACCTGAGATCTCATTTGTAGGAGAAACCACAGGCACCAGAGCTGTCATTGCTACTGGCACCAGATCCACCAAGGCCAGTGAAGAGCCCAAATGTGAGAGTGCCAGTCAGGCCAGTGCCAGCACTGAAGCCACCACTGGCACTAGCGTTGGCACTGGTACTTGTATTGGCACCAGTGCTGGCACCACCACTATCCTGGGCTTTAGCTTTAGCTTCAGCTCCTGCCTGGATCCGGGCTTTGGCCCAGGGTCCAATATCTGCTTCGTCCCAGTTGCAAGGTCCAGCAGCATTCTCAGAGCCGAGCCCAATTCCCATTTGAGCTCTAATCTCAGCCCTCGCCTTGGCTTCAGCTGCAGCCTCAGCTGCAGCCTTCAAATCTGCTTCCATTGCCTCTCGGTACTGAGCTGCCCATTCCTTGGGGTCCTTCTTTTGTACCTGAAATGGAAATAATGACCATCAGAACGATCATAATTGAAGTTTAGATGAAGTACCTACTGTTAGGTAGGCACCTAATTATACCTCTAATACTCTATCCTTGCTCTGTACCTCTAATATTCCATCCTTGCTCTGACACTGACTAGCTCTGTGACCTTGGACATATCACCTACCAACCTCTCTGGGCTTTAGATTTTTCATCTGCAGAAGATCAATGACACATAAGTTCTTTTTTGGGAGAGGTTTTTGCTATAGGGCACATGCGCTCGCCAGACAGACAGAGAGACAGAGAGAGAGAAAGTGAGAAATCACCCCCCGGGGGGATGGCCATACCACAATCCCTTCTCCTTCATTCTCCTCTCAGGATCTTGGGCACACACGCACACATGCCCAGCGTTGAGTTTTAAGCCACCGGGTCTGGGACGCGAACCGTGGTCAACTACATGGGAATCCAGCGACATAGCCATTATGCTAACTGCTGGTCCCATCACATAAGTTCTTCAAAAAGGTCATGGAAAATATATCTCATGAAAGAAATCATGCACTGATTTCAAAAATTTTTTGGCACCAAAATAAATTCATACTTTAATTCCATTTCCCATGAACTCTGTAAATTTCCCTCACATTAGTTATAACAATGTTTGGCAATTAAGAGAGACTTCAGAATGTTCAGACCTAAACTGTAGGATGCTCATAGCCTGTCCCAGAGAGGGCACTATGTTCCCTTAAAATGCCAACCTCAGGCAATTCTCCAATTACCTTGCAGGCAAACTTGAGGACTTTCATCTTGCTGGTCTCATAGTAGGAACGCAGGCCCCAGAAGAACTCATACTCAGGGGGGTTGCTATTAGGGACTCTGGCATAATCCAGGTACCTTGAAGAGAAAGGTTCAAGGCCTTTATTTCTAAGACTACTCATTCCATCCCTTCCTCCAATGCAGGACTGGACAGGCTCTAGGTGGCAACCTCTCCCACATCCTACTGCTGGTTTTCTTACAATATTGAGCCCTGTCCCATTGGTCCTGCTCAGAAGCCACATGAAGGTGTAAGGGGGACACATTTAGGACATTTGTTCACAGGGAGGCCACACATTTTGTGCCCCTCATCACAGTGACCCAAAATGCCTGTTGGGTGTGTTATAAACAGAAGAGCTATTCTCCAGGCCCCCTACTCAGTATATCACATCACAAGGGTCTCATTCACAACCTGGCCAAACCCTGGAAAGATCCACCAAAGAAAACAACTGAAAAGAAATAAGCAGCCAAGAGCAGAATGCTCCATACATGCACCCGCATTCCTAACCCTGTGGGTATGTTTTTCTGCATGCATATGTGTGTTTATGTGACAGCAAGCATGTTCTTTAAGGACAAAGGAGAGGGTGGGCACTAGCCTAAAAGTCAAGAGGGCTATGTCATGAATTGGTCCCTTACTAGCTGTGGGCCAGACTCAGACTTTCCCTCTTGGAGACCCGGTTCTCACAACTGTTAAAACAGGAATGGGGATCAGCAGATGGCATAACAGTTATGTCACTGGACTTCCACGTAATTGGCCACAGTTCAAATCCCGGACCCGGTGACTTAAAACTCAGGCTGGGCCTGTGTCCATGTGTGCTCAAAATCCTTAGAGGAGACTGGAGGAGAAGGGATTGCACTGTGGCCATCCCCTCTGCAGGAGTGATTTCTTGCTTTCTGTCTCTCTGGCAAGCACATGTGTCCTATAGCAAAAATCTCTCTTAAAAATAACAGTAACTGTATAGTATCCCCAACTGTACTGTTAAGAAATGTATTCATGTTGGAATATTCACTTTACAAGCTAAGCAATACATGTGGGTGAATGTATAAAAGAAATTAAAATAAAATAAATTTGAAAAAACTATTGACTGGGTAGCTTTGGGGAAATAATACCCTGAAACTAAGAGGCTATTGCTAACTTCCTGAAAACACGGAATGAGACCCTTACCTCAAGGTTGACTGCACTACCTGAGAACCTGCCAGTTATGGACTGGGCTTATTTTTTAAAATTATTTTATTTAACCATATTTATTTACTTATTTATTTAGACCAGAGTGGGACAGAATGAGAGAGAGAAAGAGCCAAGAGAGAAAGCAAGCTGCCAGGTCCAGGACTCAAACCGTGGTCGACCATGTGGGAGTCCAGTGCCCTTAACAACCATGCCACCTGCCAGACCTTGGACTGAGCTTATTACAAGGTCACTGTGACTAGGGCATGCTTGGTGGATAACTTTGAAAAGAAGGTGAAAAGTTGTGCTGAGTTTGTGTCATTCTCAAAGGCCAGGATTGAAGAATATCAGAAATGGCTGGAGAAGATGAAGAATACAATTCCATTTGACCAGATGACCATTGAGGACTTGAATGAAGTCTTCCAATAAACTGTATTAGACAAGTAGAAATAGCTCTCTTGGCCTCACCAGTTAATTGAGAATTTATAAAATTATTGTTCCTAGAAGGAAATTCTGGCCCTTGTCTTACAAACTCTGGACATTAAAAATAAAAGTAATGACATAAAGAATAAAAAAAACAACAAAAATACAGGGATGAGATGACAGCATCTATTTTGCAGGGTAGTTAGATGAATGAAATCAGATGTACAAGTCAAGTCCCTAGCACAGAACACAGCTGCCTGAAGCTACCATTCTATGACATTCTTTTATTGAAATTAATTCCTCTTAAGCTCTGGTTACACTCTAGTAAAAAGAACCAAGATTTTGGAGCCAAGTTCTCAACACAATTCTTTTTTTTTATTTTATTTTTTTAAGATTTTGCCATAGGGCATGTCCATTCACCAGAGAGAAGATAGAATAGGAAAGTAAGAGGTCACCCCCCAGAGGGAATGTCCATGCCCCAATCCTTTCTCCTCCAGTATCCTCTCGGGATTCTGGGAAAGCATGCACATGTGCCCAGTGTGACTTTTCAAGCCGCTAGGTCCAGGGTTTGAACCATGGTCAGTGATGTGGGAGTTCAGCACCTAACACCCATGCCACCTGCTGGCCCATAAAAACAACTCTTTATTTGCTACCCGCGTAATCCTGAACAAATGACTTCACCTCTCTTAGCCTCAGTTTCTGTATATGTAAAATACTGGTGGTGATAACCCCTCCTTTGTGGAGTTGTTCTGAAGACAAATGTGAGAGTGCATGTAATAGATCAGGAAGCATGTGCTGCTTCTGTTCTCTGTCACCATCCCAGTAATAACCTACCACTTGCATGCACATGTGTGTACACATATACGTACAGTTTAGCACTAAGTTCTGAAATAGGCAAAATGCATGAAGCACGCCACTACACAGACACTCACTTCTGCTTCACAAATTCATCAGTAATGAGCTTCTTCACATCTCCAAAGAGTGAGTGATGTATCCTAACAGTAGAGAAATAAAAATAAAGAAGTAAATACAATCATTATTGTGGAATTTCCTAGATGTGAGCAGAGACATTTTTAAAATGGAAAAGAGGTTTCCAACACAAGAGGGAAAATCCATGAAAGCCCAAGAGACAGTGAAAGAAAGGGTGAAGAGTTCAGGATCATTTCCCCATCCACCCAGGTTACAACCCTGGGCCCTCTACCCAATTCAGCACCCGCCCTGCCTGCACCACCAGACCACCAGGCTGATGTAATCCTGGAACCATCCTCTCTTGCCAAAGGACAACATGGACAGCAAGCACTGAGAGAGCTCAATCATACCCAGGGCGGAGCCCCAACTTGCGCAGCACCTCCCAGATGACAGCTGTGAGGTAAGGCAAAAGGAAACAGGGATAGAAAATGAATACGTGGAATTCAGACCATTGCCACCCATTCGGTCACATGACCTGTCACTCACCCTCACTGGACCGATTTCCATTCATGAAGATGATGCTAAGGAGCACCATGAGGAGACCTAGTTTGGGTGAGTCCTTGGTTCTAAGGGAGTAATGCACAGAGAGAAGGTTTATGTCCAGTAGCCATCTGCATAAGACACAGCAACTGGCTCAGTTAGCTAGCCTCTCTCAGACTCTTCAGATAGGCATAAAATAGCCCAGTCTTGCTTCAAGCTCTGTGTGACCCTGGGAAAGGCACTCTGACTTGTGAGCTGTCTCCTACGCAGTGAAACAGGAAAATCAGATCCTCCTGTCCACAGGCTGCTGAAAAGATGGAAGAATGCCTGTTAATCTCATACAAAACAGGCAACATGAGCCTCTTATTTCTCTCCCAGATCCCTCAACCCTCAGGTAGTTCTCGGTAGAGCCCTACTGACTATGCTTCCAACAACATAACCTAACACACCAGGAAGTCCTCCTTGAGAACCACTTTACCAAGGCTAGGTCAAGTGCTCAGTATAAAGAAATGAGCAACGAAAGACCCACTTTCTTGGAAACTTCTAGAAAGACAGCAAACCTGGCAGCAGGAACGCCCTGCCCCAGTCTCCTACATCCTCCAGCCTGCCATGATCAGGCACCACTATGGCATACAGGGCTCCAACTACTCTCAGTAGGTGAGACAAAGGCCTTTTAGGCCCTTTCTTTCCTGACTCACTAGGAGGATGTGAGGAGAGAGGAAAGGGGGGGTATTACCACGGACAAAAGTAGAAGCCCCCTCCCACCCAACCCTTCCCCAGCTTACGTTCCCAGTATGCCTGCATCAGTGGGCTCTAAGGTACTGAGAAGAATGTACAAGTGGTCATTCTTATCAATTTCCTTCAATTGAATCCCAAATACCTGTGGATGGGGAGAACAGCTTTTGAGATCACAAAATTCAGCTTTCTGGACATCTTGCAGCTCCCCGTGTACCTAGGGGTTTTGTGTGTGTGAGAAGTCAGTGAGATCATGCACATAAAGCGCATCACTAAGTGACTAGCATAGATAAGCACACAATAAATGTACCATAAACTGTCAACATCATCTTTGTGATTAAGTGGGAGTCCAGGGAGATGTAGAATGGAGAATAGAAGGGAGAAGTGAACATTTAAAATACACAACAGGATGTGTCTAGAAGTGGACAGAAGCCAGGGATGAGTTGAATGGCTTGGGTCTCAGATGTGCCTCCACTACTTTTTGTGTGACCCATGGTTATCTATGCCCCACCCCAGGCCACTCTCTGCCCATCTGCATGGTGACAGGGCTGGATTAGTGGGTCTTTGCAGTTCCCCCCAGAAGGAACATGCACATATTTGTTGCATTCAAGGCTTCCCCACAGTGCCCATCCCCCTCCCCCTCTATTGCCCCTTCACCTTCTCTAAGGAATAGCCTGCTCGTTCGATGATTTCAGGGTATACATCAGTGTATTCTTTGATGATGTCCTTCAGCATGTCTGCAAGAGGAGAGCGTTGCAAGCACCTGAACTGAAGAGACACTAGGTGGTCCTCATGCCCAAAGTATAGACTCTCTGCCAACTCTGCCATGGGTGACATAACCAGGTTCTGAGCTTATCAATAGAGATGTTAGCACTGAAAAATTAGAACTTTGAGAAGACAAAGATAGGAGCATAAAGAACAAAGAATGCCCCCAGCACATGGGGGAGAGGACAACAGAGAACAGAGCTCAGGACTGGGGGAGAGGGCAACAGGATTCTACCTGCACGCTTGATGGGAATCTTCGTCTGGTCTTTAGCCAACAGATACTTCACCAAGTCATTTGCCTGGGAGAGGAGGAACGTATGGAAAGATCAAAATAAGTCTGTAGAAAACTTGAGGATGACAGAGAAGAGGGCAGATAACACAATGAAAAGGCAAAGTGAAAAGGGAAAAGTTCTTACCCTCCCCTGTAAAAGGGCCACATCTCTAGGTGGTGATGTTTCTGGCTCTTGGGATGACTGGAGCTTGGCAGCTCTACGGCGAGCCTTGCCCCTACGGGCTTTAGGTGACCTCAGGGAAAGCAAGGCTCTCCGGGCCCAAGCAGCCAACCGAGTCCTTGATGCCCTGCGGGCCCAAAAGGCTATAGGACCCTTTGAAGCTCTACGGGCCATTGAGGCCATTAGGGCCTTTGAGACCCTTCGGCCACCTGTGGTTCCAGAAGCCTGACTCTGATCACTGTTGCCATCCTCTTCCCCATCCAGATGCTTCACCTACATCAACAGAGGAAGCTCAACATCACCAGATGAAAAAGGTGATCATTTTCCGTACCCTAGTTCTTTTAGGAAGTACCTCCATAATCCCACCCCTGTGTTAACAGCTTGCCTCACTAGACATTGGTCATGCTAAGTCCTAGATTTGTTTTTCCCTGACTTCGGGGCAGGAGTTTCATCTCCAAACCAGGCCAGGAGCAAGCTAAGGGTGGGGTATGAGACTTTTCCTTGTCCTATGTCCACCACTGGCTCTGCTTACACCACCTCGGACAAGTCAGTTTACCTCTCTGGGACACAGCTTCCTTCTCTATAAAAAACTGGGACGTAATGAGATAACATGTATGAATGTGCCTGCTACAAGGCTTAACACGGAGTAGCTACTATGTAAATATAAACTGCATTACATTCAGATTGTAGCTATGTATATTCCAATCTTGTCTTCCCACAAGTCTATAAGCTCTCTGAAGACAGAAACTGTACCACATTCTTCTCAGTGCCACCATAGCCTTGATGAGCATGGAAATGTTTCTAAACTTATATAGAACAAATCAATTAACTGAGGGGAAAACACTGGAAAAATAAGGGTGATGACTGCAGAGGTCTTACCTTTCGGGCCTTTTTGGCCTTAACCTTGGGCCGAGTATCCTGATTTTCCTGAGCCTGGGCAGCTGTACCCTCAGGCTCAGGTTCATCTTTAGGAGACTGAGAGGCAGTAACCTCAGTCTCTGGGGCCTTCGTATTGACCTTTGTATCAGTCACACAGCTGACCTTTTTGGTCTCAGTGGCAGGCACTGTCACAGACCGTGGGTTAGCATTCTGTGTCTTGGTGTCAGCTATTGGATTCTTGGTTTCAGCTGCCAGAACCTGGGTATCAGTCAGCTGAGTGGTGGGTAAAGCCTGGGCGGCAGTTGCCTCCTGAGCCTCTGGGGCCTTTGAGACCTTTGTGGCCTTTGCAACTGCTGGGCCTTTTGAGACCTTCACAGCCTCTGAGACTTCTGGTGCCTTTGAGGCTTTTGGTGTCTCTGAGAACTCCAAGCTCTGGGTCACTGTCAATAGGGTCTGCATCATAGAGTCGCTGTCCTTATCTGAAGCTTTAGCCTGCAAGAGAAAACAGGGAAACTCACGGACCTTCTCCCCACCTCAACTAGACAAATAGCTCCAAAATGCCAAGGCCACACTTCTCCAATCTGTATTGACTCCTACCTGTAATATGCTCGGTCCACCCCAGCCCAACAAGGCCTCCCGTCCTCTGAGCAAGAACTGATAGCAGAAGAACGGCCCTCCTGTCTCTCCCTCCATGGTGAAAGGGAATGATCAGGCAGGGAGTTGATGGAAAAGGATAAGGAGGGGCGGGGAAGTGCCAAAGGATGTGGACAGCAACAGTGAGCTGAAGAGGAAAAGCAGCTAGAGAGAGGGCAGAAAGAGGCCTTACCTGGAAGCGAGTTAGACTCGCATCACTTTCACTTGTGTCAGACATGTCTCAAATTGGCCTGGCAAGAGCTGAGCCTGAAGGGGAGACAACCTGGGTCAAGCAGAGAGACCACAGAACGTTCTCTTCCCTGTTCTGCCTGGCGGCTGCTCCCTACCTTCCCTAGGGCCCCAGTCCTAAGCCCCTCCTACAACCCAAAAGACAATGTTCTCAGACACAATAATCCAAAACGTTTAGCTCTCAGTTCTCCGCAGCCGCACCCTCCCCTTCTCCAGGAAAATGTGCCAGCTCAGCAGCTCTAAGCCCTTTTCCAAAAGCACTCACCCGCCCCCCCACAGCCGCAGGCCAGCAATGCGCATGCGCATCTGCTGCAGAGCCCGTCTCAGTCCAACCCCTTTCTCAGCACAAGCCCTTTCTTTGATGTCCACCGTGCACATGCGCATTCGATGTCCACCGTGCACATGCGCATTCGGCAGCTGGCCCTTCATACTGGCCCTTCTCAACACGCCCCTTTACAGAGGTACATAGTGCGCATGCGCAATGGTCACAGTCTCAGTCCAGCAGTCTTCCTCACACACATCCCTTTCCAGGTCTGCAGTGCCATTCAGTCCCGCCCCCACCCCGATAAATGTCCCTCTCAAGTTGTTGCAGCGTCTGGTGGTCCCGGACCCTCCCTCGCACCCACCCCACCAAGTCTGCAGTGCCTCCTAGTTCTGCCTTTTCTTCTAACACACCTCCCTCTAAACCAGGGCAAAGCTCGTCTTGGTTCCACCCCTTCCCCATTACACCCCCTCCTCAGATCTGTGTTGACCTAGAGATTCCATCTTGGGCCCAGACAAACCCGGTCCAGTCCCCTTCCTTCCCAGCCAGATGGATCCGGTATGATCTAGTCCTTAAGGCAGGTTTTCTCCAGATCCCAGAGGGTGGAGCCGACCCCTAACGGGCTCTCATACAAAGCTAGCCCCTGCTGCTCACCTCGTCCTCCTACAACTCCCGAGGATGTCCAATCTCTCCAAGCCCCTTCGAAACTAGGAGACTGCCCTACCCCCTTCAAGCCGGAAGTGGTCCCGCCCCTTTCCGCCTCCCTAGGGGGCCTCAGTCCCAGGCTGTCTGCCCTTCCCCCACTCCCTTCTCCTCATTTCTTATACCCCCCCCGTAGTCCCTTTGCTCGCTCTCTGCTCTCTATTCTCCTATCGCATTTCCTATTTCTCCATAGAATCCCCTATTGCAATTCCTTACATGCTCCTTCGTGTTATTTCTGTACGCCCCCTCCCCCACCCCAGTGTTCTTTTAATTCCACTCTGCATCTCCTATTCTTTTCTCTGGGTCTCCATTCCTCCTCAGTATTCCCCTCCTTCCTCGTATTCAGTCTCCCATCCAACAAGCCCGGTTTCCCATTTTTCTCCCCTCCTCCGCCGGTCTTTGCTCCCCAGTTCATACAGCCTACTACTTTCTCAGTCTTTCTCGCTGCGGAGTGCGGGATGCGTCTGCCCTCTCAGTCCCACTCGAAGTCTCAGCCTCTGGAATAGAGCTGCAGATAGCCCAGCCCAGCTCCTTTCCGCAGCCCCTTGCCACCCCGCCCCTCGCCTTCCTAGGGGGTGGGGCAATGGGGCCCAACTCAGGGCAGTATGACGCCAAAGGCTGTGTTTATGCCACTATACCAGGCTTGGTCTGAAGCCCTTCCAATCCAAACCATCACCTTAAGGCGACTCGTTCATTGAGTTTATTTACTTTTGAATTTTTTTTGTTATTACAAAGGTAACGTGTTGTCGTGAAAACTCAAATAATGAAGAATATGTAACTTGCCAGTGAAAGGCCACCCTTATCCCCCAGAAATAATTACTATTAACATTTTGATATATAGTCCTGATTTTTTCTATTCATATACTAATTATTTGGGTTTTTCCCCCCAAGTAGCACACTGTACTCACTAATCAATGAATTATTTAATTTCCAGTTGTATGTTTAAACATTTTTTCCATTGGCGAACATTTTTCTGAATTGTTGCATGATCTCTTGTATAGATAGATGTTCCTGTTATTTATTTATTTTTACATTTTCCCATTGTTATTTTACATATAAAAACACTTTTTGCTCATACTCCATAGTTCTTGACAGTTAATAAACAACTTTCGAAATTTCAGAAAACTGAATTTAAAGCTAACTTTCAAAATATTTGTTATAGTATTGTTTGCTACTATAACAACAGACAGTAGATTTTAAATATTTTTGAGAAAATATTTACAAGTCAACTACTCAAACTATTGAAAAGCAAACACACAGCACACAATTCACAAATGAACCTTCCCTACTCAGCCTTGTCTATCAAGTATTTTGTGATATATTATCTGCTAGCAAAGATCAGTATGTTTTCCTTCCTTCAAAGTCTTCCTCAAGATAATCCTCTGGTTGTGGCTACTCTTTTGCACTCTCTACTGATTACAATGCTGGGCTGGAAAAGTCTAGGTTATTTTATGGCACAAATTCTTTCATATGGCTTCTCTAATCCTCTCTACCAGACAGAACTCTTTATGGTGCCAAGCAATCTTTCCAAGAGCTTCTGTAGGTTTTCTTAAGATCTACCTTAGGTTCATAGTTTTCTGGTTATATATTCAGATATGACATTCCAGTCAAATCCTTGTCAATAATGAATATTTCCAATTTCTGATTTAAGGCAACAGTTATTATTGAAATCAAATAACCCCTCTGCCACAAAATAAGAATACTCCCAAGTATTTTCCAATTCCAGAGGGGTCAGGAAGAGAGAAAAGTTTCTGTTTCAATTTAAAGAAACAAACAAAAACATTTTAACAATTGCTGAACCTATCGATAGTTCAGAAGAAAGCAAAATCCTTAAATCTGGAAAACAAAACATATTTTTAAAAATTTGTAATGTTTTAGTCAAGAATCATAAAATTCTATTTCACCAGTTCCGGCTCATGTAATTAATCTCCCTTCTGTTGAATTTACTGTGTTACTGTGGTCCAGTCTTTCTGTTTAAATCCTTGAAATTAACACTCAATGCTATTATTTATATTTACAGACTTGTCCTTACAATTAAGTTGGTCATTTTCTTGGTTGCTTTTTGTTCTCTTATTTCTATCTGTGTATTTTTAGTTTTCTTGTTAAGACACTACCAGTTGGTCATTTTCTTGGTTGCTTTTTGTTCTCTTATTTCTGTCTGTGTATTTTTAGTTTTCTTGTTAAGACATTACATTCAGTACTTATTGAAGAACTGGTCTGGTGTTGGTAAATTGTTTCAAGTTTTGTTTGTCTGAGAATATTTTTTCTTTTCTTCCCATATGAAGGATAATCTTGTAGGGTATAGTATTCTTGGTTGAAATTATTTTTCACTTAACACTTTTTTTTGAGACTTTTTTTTATTTCATTGACCTCCTGGGTGGGTCATCTATGGGACAGTGGTTAAGAGTTGACTGTATGTATAGACCTATCTCTTTTTTATTTTCTCATTTTTTTATTTTTTATAATATTCTACTTTGAATATTTTTTCCCATTCTTTTTTTGTTTGCATTGTTTCCAATGAGAGGTCTGATGTTAGCCTGATGGGATACCCTTCGTAAGTAACCTGACATTTCTCTCTTGCCGAATTTAGTATCTTGTCTTTGTGTATGGATTTGACTAATCTGACTATGATGTGCTTAGAGAAGATCTTCTTGGGTTGATTCTATTAGGGGTCCTTTGTATTACTTGAGTCTGGATGTTTGAATGCCTCTCTAGGTTTGGGACGTTTTCTTCCAAGATTTCATGGAATACATTATCAATACCCTTGTTAGTTTCTTCACCTTCTGGGATACTAATTATCTGGATGTTTGGCATTTAATGGTATCTAGTATTTCTCATCTATGATTCTCATTTTGGGGGGTAATTTTCTCAGTTTTTTTAGTAATTTTTTTCTAGGTCAGAGGTTTTGTCTTCAACATCCAAGATTCGATCTTCTCCATGGACTAATCTGCTTTTAATACTTTTGAGGGAGGATTTAATGTCATGTATTACAGCCTTCAGGACTAATCTGCTTTTAATACTTTTGAGAGAGCATTTAATGTCATGTATTACAGTCTTCATTTCTTCTCTCTTTTTTTTTTGAGAGGTTTATTTTGCTATAGGGCACATGTGCTTGCCAGAGAGACAGAGAGAGGGCACATGCGTTCGCCAGACAGACAGAGAGAGACAGAGAGACAGAAAGCAAGAAATCACCACCCAGGGGGGATGGCCACGCTACAATCCCTTCTCCTCCATTCTCCTCTTGGGATCTTGGGCACACATGCACACACACCTGGCGTGAGTTTTAAGCCACCGGATCTAGGACGTGAACCGCTGGGAGTCCAGCGACATAGCCATTATGCTGACTGCTGTTCCCCATTACAGCCTTCATTTCTAACAGCTCTGTTTGATTTTTTTTTTATGGAGTGTATTTCTTCTTTAAATTTATGAGAGAACTTCCTCACTTCCTGGAACTCATTGTCTTGTTTCTCTTGCACCTTCTGAAGTTCATTGTCTCTCATCTTTTGCACCTTAATTTTGTCACTGTGAATATTATGAATTCGTTATCAGACATTTCCACAAGTTTTATTGTAGAGACATTTCCACAAGTTTCATTGTAGTGTCTGTGGATGATGAAGTGTTGTTATTTTCCCTTGGGAAAAGATATTTTCTGGGTTTTTCGTATTTCTTGTGCCTCTGTGGTGGTTTCTGGTGATCTGATGGATTATGTGTTTCTTGCTAATTTCTTGGAGTTAATTCTGAACATTTAGCGGTATGTGGGAGGAGGTGTCCTGCAATCTCTCTACAGGTCCATTTCCCTGATGCTCGCCAAGCAACCAACTCTTTTGACTCTGGAACTGAATATTACAAAGGCCTCACAGGTTCTAGAGAATAGATGCACCTGGACTAAGTAAGCTACAGGGTTTCCATTGAGAGTTCAGGGGCACGTGGGAGGAGAGGAGTTGTGCTCTCTCAGCAGCTCTGTCCTCCCTGCTGCTCACTCTGCTATCTCTCTTCTCTAAATTTTAGTCATTTGGTGGAAGAATAGTAAGGGTTGAGGATTTCTAAATGACCCTAAAACTACACAGATGCTTGGCTACTGTGCACTTAGGCTTGTCTAGATACTCAACGTGTAGAAGCTGAACAACAGGGTGAGAAATTAAGGTTAAAAAAAGGAAAAGGAAAAAAGGAAGGGAAAAAAACTAGACAAAAACAGTCAAAAGAGAAAAAAATTTAAAGGTAAAAAATGAAAACCACGTGGCACAGGCAAGACATACCTCTGATTTAAAATGGTTTCTCAAATTAGCTAGAGAAAGGAAAGGCTCAGAGGTAAGAAGAAGTGTTTTAAGATTTTAAAAACATCTGAAGAGAGAGACAGACAGAGACAGAGAGAGAACAGAGATTGCCCTGCCTGGATGAGTGCTTCTAGGGTCTGGAAGATGGGGTTTAGAGCAGAGCCTCAGTTGCCTTGGTCGCTGAACATGGCAGGACACACCTCAGATTTAAAATGGCTTCTGGCTGAGTGTTTCTGGGGTTTGGAAGATGGGGTTTAGAGGAGAGCCTCGGTCACCTTGGTCCCTCATGTCCTGTAATGTATTTAACCAGTCCAATATATATGAATATTTAGGTTGTCCTCCACTCCCCCTTTCTTTAACTATTTCAAATAGTGCTACAAGGAATATCCTTGTATCAAAATTAGGCATTTTTTGTTATTTGTGGTATTTTTTGCTAACTACAGTGCTATAAAGAGTCTTCCATCTTAATTCAAATTTTGTTAATTTACCTCTAAAAAGTATAAAGGATAACATTACCATGAACAGTATCTCTTACATGTTTATATGTCACATGTTATAAATAAATATTTTTCATGTTATTTATACTTTTGGCTATCCCCAAAAGTTAATTATTATGTAGTTCCATATATCACCTTTTTCTTCATTGTGACTGGATTCTACTTCGTGCTTAGAGGTGCTATCCACATTCCTGTTTTATAACAATTCTCAAGCACTTTCAAGGCGTTATCAGTTGCCTTTAAATGTTTGATCACTTCAAAATTTGTTTTGTGTCAGTATTCAAC